AAATATATATATATATATATTTCTAAGAGTAACTCTGAATTTTATGCTAATAATAATTTGTATTTGTGTGTTTTAGTTGAGATGTGTTGATAGGATAGGATAGGATAGGAGGCAGATTATTTATTTGGGTTGACTTGACTTCTGGATGAAGACTTTTCCATTGAAATGAATAGAAGCTGTTTATTTGTATATGTTTTAGTTGAGATGTGTTGATAGGATAGGATGGGAGGCAGATTGTTTATTTGGGTTGACTTGTGGATAAACACTTTTCCATTGAATTGAATAGAAGCAGCCTATTGGGGTTGGTAGCACTTATTTCTGAATGAATGAAACAAATAAGTATCATCTTCTTTTCATTCGTTACAACTGGCAAGACCAGACTAGCGGAACCTCACGCGTGGTACATTAGTCATTACCACTATTTTGGGTGTATTAATTTCCTTCATCTCATTTGCACACTCATTAATTAACCAATAGTAGTTTTAAAATTAAGTAATTTCTTTCTTCTTTTGAATGTTTCTCTGAAAAGGACCCGATAGGACCATGATGCCACAATACAGAGTTACAAACCTGATATATATCAGATCAGGGATAGATCATTAGGCTCTGAATTTGAACAAAGTCAATTTCCACCTCCTTTCTTTCTTTCTTTTCAGGTCTCCATAGATTGTGGATACAGCGCTACAAACATGAAAGAGAGAGAATTGTCTAGTTCTCAAGTTTGAAGCTTTTTTTGTTTGTTCTGTTCAAAAAAATGGAACCAAGAATTCAGTTGCTTTTTCTTCTGATTGTTTTTAGCCAACTTTACATCATAGCCGCAGTTACTGATCATGGTGATGGTAAGTTTGCTTCTTATTATTATTGTTTAACAAAACTTTTGTTGATTTGGGAAATGACATATTTCTTCTGCCGACCTTTTTCTTTATCATCTTCATTTGGAGGAAAGGAAACGAAACCACGAGTCAATTAATACTGAATATCAGAAGCTTCTTATTTATATGATGATTATAGACATGATCTTCATTTCTAGATTGCTTGTTATTACCCTTGCAATTTATTAAAGTGGTTATTGTGGGTTGCTGGCTGCAACTAGAAATAGGAGCTGGTCTGCAAAGTTTGCTTCTAATTCCCATATTCTTTCTGGTACATACATATAAAAAAAAAGTTAGTTGAGTCTTAATTCTTCAATGCTTGTGGCTTTTAAATCGTTTGGCAATTAAATCTCTTTCAAATTGTGAAGGGTTAAAACTTATATAAACTCCTTTTAGTTAGGACTCAATTGATTTCAAATCATTGGGATATCAGACTCCAAAATTCATACTGCCGTATCGAGTGAAACTACATTCATTTTTGATTCTGGTGCAGCTGCTGCTCTAATTTCACTCAAGGCTGAGTGCAAGAACTCACCCCACAATTGGTCGGGCTCAGATCCTTGTGGTGATGGCTGGGTAGGAATTGGGTGCACGAATTCACGTGTCACCTCGATGTAAGTTCTTGGTTAATTTCCACCTCCTGGATAAACGCTTATTCTTTCTCTTCAACCTTCTGAGGATTGATCTGTCTCTCATCTGTTGCAGAACATTGGGAAACTTGGGCTTGGAAGGGCAGGTGTTTGGTGACATTCCATCCTTAACTGAATTACAGACTTTGTAGGTCCTCTATCTGAAGTTCACGTGGGAATCATTTCAAAACTAACTTGTTCATTCTCCTCCATTTAAGACTATAATGATCTATGTGATTGTGCTGCTCAGATTTCTAAAGATTCATTTAAATCTAAGGCTTAACTGAAACATATTGTCTTTAGGCATTATATACAAAAAGTTTAGTGGTGATTATAATAGAGAACACGAAGAACATGATATTCTGCTGTTTGTCAGCTAAAATATGCCTCCCAACCTTTTCCATTACTTGGTGAGGGATGTTATAATATATACGTATTGATATATCTCTGATCAAGCTTCTTTATGCAGGGATCTATCTTACAACAAGCGCCTGACAGGATCTCTTCCAGAAAAAATTGGGAATTTAACGAAGCTAACAATTTTGTAAGTCACCGAGTCGAATTAATCTTGTTTTTTTTTTTTTTTTTTTTTTTTTTTTTTTGGGTCTTCTCTTTATGGAATCATCTTGTTTACCATTCTCTTCAAACCTGCTTTTGTGCTCCTGAGACAGAAACCTTATTGGCTGTGGTTTCACTGGTGCAATTCCTGACACGATAGGAAATCTACAACAGCTGA